GAATGAATGAAGGAAGGAAGGAAGTAGTGAACTAAATGGGGGGAGGGGCCAGCTCCTGGTACCCGAACTACCACACAGTGTTGGCCCAAAAAGCTTTGTCAGTGGTGAGGACGGGGAGAATGCTGTCATGTTTCATTAGCCAATCAGAAACACCATGAAATTGTAAAAAGAAGTCAGCATTCTTGCTTGGAAGACTTAAGAGGGTTTTGTGAGAGCAGCAAGGGCAGTGGAAAGGAAGAACAGCTCAGATTTATTCCACAGTCGAGCACTGTGTGGACGTTGGGATACGGTAGTGGGCAAATGCACCGTAGACCTATCGGAGCTGTTGTGTAGTGGGAGAAAATGATGTGCTCTTAAATGCCGGGTGAGGGGACACGAGGACAACACTGCCATTCTGTACCAGCATTCAGTAGACTAGAAGACTTCTCTGAGGAAGTGGTGCTTGAGCTTGGCTCTGGAGGAAGAGTAGAAGTATTCCAGTGCCGCCGGCTCCGCGGCTCACTAGGCTAATCCTCCGCCTTGCAGCGCCGGCACACCGGGTTCTAGTCCCGGTCAGGGCGCCGGATTCTGTCCCTGTTGCCCCTCTTCCAGGCCCAGGCCAGCTCTCTGCTATGGCGCAGGAGTGCAGTGGAGGATGGCCCAAGTGCTTGGGCCCTGCACCCCATGGGAGACCAGGAGAAGCACCTGGCTCCTGGCTTCAGATCAGTGCGGTGCGCCGGCCGCGGCGGCCATTGGAGGGTGAACCAACGGCAAAAGGAAGACCTTTCTCTCTGTCTCTCTCTCTCACTGTCCACTCTGCCTGTCAAAAAAAAAAAAAAGAAGCATTCCAGTGCCAAGGTCCTGTGGCGGGAAGCTCAGGCAGTCTGTTTTAGGGACCCCAGAGCCCTGGAATGTGGAGGGCCGGGGGAGATAAATCAGCAGTGGCTGCAGCCAAAGCATTGTAGATTATTTCTGAAAGCTTGTCATCCTTGAACAGGATCCTGGTCCTAAATGCAAACAGGAACGTGACCGTGTAAGCGGTGAGAGTGTCGAGGAGTCGGCATTTGGGGTGTTACAGAGGCAGAATGAACAGACCACCCAGTGAGGCCAGTCAGGCTCTGGGGGGAATGGATGTGATGGAAAATTTGCTGTGAGTGATAAGAACCTGCACTGGCACTCCCTCCCCCCAGGCCATGATACTGGCTGTGTCTGGAAGGCAAGGCAGGAAGGCAATGGGACCTGGGTCAGGGACAAATCCAATTCTACATCATGTCTGGCTTCCTTTAGAAAATACCTTGAAGATAAATGAAATGCTGACATTTGTTAATAATGACAGTGCACACGCATGTATGTGTTTTACAGTTTTCTTCTTTTTTAAAAAGATTTATTTATTTATTTGAAAGGCAGAGTTACAAGAGAGACAGAGAGAGAGAGAGAGTGAGAGAGCTCTTCCAAGATCCACTAGTTCACTCCCCAGATGGCTGCAACAGCCAAAGTTGGGCTCCATCTGAAGCCAGGAGCCTGGAGCATCTTCTGGGTCTCCCATGCAGGTCCGGGAGCCCAAGGACTTGGGCCATCTTCTGCTTTCCCAGGCCATAGCAGAGAGCTGGATCAGAAGTGGAGCACCTGGGACTGGAACTGGCGCCCATATAGGATGCCGGCACTGCAGGTGGTGGCTTTACCCACGACGCTACAGCGCCAGTCCCTTTCTTTCTTTTTGTTTTAAGATTTATGTATTTATTTGAAAAACAGAATTACAGATAGGCAGAGGCAGAGAGAGAGAGAGAGAGAGAGAGATCTTCCATCCACTGGTTTACTCCCCAAAAGGTTGCAATGGCCAGAGCTGGGCCAATCCAAAGCCAGGAGCCAGGAACTTCTTCAGGGTCTCCCATGCAGATGTAGGGGCCCAAGGACTTGGGCCATCTTCAACTGCTTTCCCAGGCCATAGCAGGGAGCTGGATCGGAAGCAGAGCAGCCAGAACTCAAACGAGCTCACATATGGGATACTGGCACTGCAGGCAGCAGCTTTACCCAGTACACCACAGCACCAGCCTCATTGTTTGTTTTCTACAAGGTAAAATTCTTTGAATTAGATTGATTGGGTTAATCTTCCTCCTGCAGCACTGGCATCCCGTATGGGCACCAGTTCTAGTCCTGGCTGCCCCTCTTCCAATCCAGCTCTCTGCTATGGCCTGGGAAAGTAGTGGAAGATGGCCCATGTCTTTGGGCCCCTACACCCACATGGGAGACCGGGAAGAAGCACCTGGCTCCTGGCTTCCGAGCGGCGCAGCTCCAGCCATAGTGGCCATTTGCGGAGTGAACCAGCGGATGGAAGACCTTTCTCTCTGTCTCTTCCTCTCACTGTCTGTAACTCTACCTCTCAAATAAATAAATAAAATGTAAAAAAAAGAAGAAGAAGAGAACATGTGTCACAGGGTTGGAGGAGGAGATGGGAGATGGGAGAGGAGAGGCCTGCCCTGGCCCGAGTCAGCATCGTGCTCTTAACTACCGGTTGCTGTGAGCAACTCCCTTCCCTGGTGAAGTCTGCTGTCCGAGAGAAAGAGTTTTGAAGACGATGATCCTGGGGCTCTCTCCTGGCTCCCACATATCTCGTTATTCTGACCTCTGAACCCCAGTGATTAATGATGACTTCTACATAGAGATGTAGGCGTTTGGCACTCCAGTGGGCACCAAGCCCCAGTTCTTTGAAAGTGGGAGCCAGTCTTGCTTGGCACAAGACAGCGAGTAGTGTCTTTCAAGGAAGCCAGCACACTGACATCCATTTGCTAAGCAACGCTTTTGAAAGCCCTGGGCTCCCAGGGTGTTCATCTGTCATCCTGGGCCAGCACACCCCCAGAAGCCCGCTGGCCCATTGTGCAGCTTGCCATTTGCCACTCTGTCCTTGTGGTCTCTCTCTCTCGGGGTTGGCAGGGCACCTGCAAAGGCAGTTTGTGCAAATGAAGGCCGAAGCCGTCCGTTCCCTTGCTTCCCAACTCTGGATGAGAACTACCGTAATGAGAAACAAATGGTGCACGCACACAGGACCAGAGGAGAAGCACCGTAGTGAGCCTCGTACGGTGCTGCGTACCTCTCTGTTCATGGCCTCCCGACTTTCCCCCAGGGCCACTCAGCCAGCACTGAGACTTGGAGTGTTGCTTCTGCATGGAAAACGTGGTGCCAGCAATGTGGCATTTGTTTCTCCACATTGTGTACCATGGCGTCATGTACTCCCCGGGCCTTCAGCCATGCTGTGTAGCGGGGACAGCAGCACGCTGGTCCTGTCCTCAGCTGCCCTGTTGTTTCAGTGGCCTCATTCCTCGTGGGAGGGTGGGGGCAGCCCACACCCGGCGGGCAGGAGATGAAGGTCAGGGGCGGGCACGTGAGCCCTGCACCGAGGCCGCCGTCCCTGCTGGCTCCCAGGAATGGCCTCCAGGCCTTGGCTGCCTCAGCTGCCTTGGCTGCCTCTCCTCCCGTTTCTCTCACCTGGGTCAGGTTTCCTTCCAGCGTACTGGACGGATGGGAATTGACAAGTGTGGGTTGGCCGAATCACCGCTTTCCAAGTGAGAGCTTGCGTTTCAGCAGAGCGAGGTTTCGAGTCAGTGGGACTCAGGGTGCTGGCTGTTCTGCTCATGAGAAGCACAAATGTTTTCCTGTCCGGAGGTTAACAAATGGGATTTTTTTCACCGGCTTGCTGGCCTGCTCAGTTACGAGGTGGAAACTACTGATCTTTGCTTTCTTGCGCCTGTGGTTCGTAGGTGATTGGAAACGTGTCTCGCGTGATGTTAACGCTTGGAGCAGGCCAGCCTTTTTCTGAACTTAAATTTCCCCCATTTTGAAAAGAATATATTTTTCCTCTTTGTGAGTAGACTAAAATTTTACAGGAACAGGCTTCTCAAACAGCAGGTTCAGACTCAGAGTCTGCAACTCTGATATCACAGGGTTAGCCCTTGCCCAAAGCCTCTTTCTGCACGAGACTCTCATTTTCCCCCAAAAGTGTGGTTCTTCACAGTCTGGTGTGGGGATTTGGGAAAAAACAGACCCAGCCTCACCCTGTAGAAGGAATGATGGCCACCATTATTTCAACTGAAACGGAAGCCGCTTTTTCTTTTTTTAAATATTTATTTATTTATTTAAAAAGCAGAATTATAGAGAGGCAGTGACAGAGAGGAGAGAGAGAGTCTCTTCCATCCGTTGGTTCATTCCCCAGATGGCTGCAATGGCCAGAGCTGAGCTGGTCTGAAGCCAGAAGCCAGGAGCTTCTTCCAGGTCTCCCACATGTGTGCAGGGGCCTAAGCACTTGGGCCATCTTCTACTGCTTTCCCAGGCCATTGCAGAGAGCTAGATTGGAAGTGGAACAGCGGGGACTCAAACTGGCGCCCCTATGGGATGCTGGCACTGCAGGTGGCGGCTTTACCTGCTACGCCACAGCGCCAGCCTTGCCGCTTTGTCTTAACGAAGCAGGAGGAAATGACGTTTGTGACATGACCTCAGCCCTCCAGAAGAGAACACTGATACCCCTGGGGGCTGTGTGTGTTTTACAACAGCTTCTCCAAGTCACCTGCGTTACCCACTTCTCACCCCACTGCCACCACCACATGGCGCTTTGCCTAATTCCATATGTTCTTCATGAACAGGCTTGCTTCCCCCCCTAATAAAATAATCCTGCCTTCCAGAGTATTTGCGACCACCCCTGGTAAGCACCCAGAGTTTCCCGACGTCACTGTTCTGGTCCAAGGAGAAGCGTACACGGTTAATGGCTCATGGCTCACGCTTTCCCCTGAGACACAAGACATCACGAACCTTGCCACTTCAGGGCGGTGAATTTTTTCCAGTATTTTCCATGAAAGCGAGGTGGTGTCCTAGCTAAAGTCCCAGAAAATTGGAAGCCCTAAGCTCCCTCGGGTAACCAAGGGCAGGTGGGCTCGCTGCCCCAGCCCCTGCCCGCTCCCAGAGTCGCTGTGGGTGCTCAGGAGCCGCAGTGGGCCACAGGTAATGAGCTTAGTATCCGTTTTCGTTGTCAGATCTCCCAGCTGATGTCGGAGGCTGGCCGGGAAGGCCTGACCGAAGCAGCGCTGAACCGCTACAACGCCGACAAGCCGGCGGCCTCCCAGGGCTCCTGCGCGGCCGGCGACACTCCGGCCGGCACCTCGGTGGCCGCGTCCTTCTTCGCACGGTAAGAGAGAGCTGCTTGCGCGCCGGCTTCCTTAGTAAGAGCCCCTCTGATTGGCCTCTCTGGCGGCCAGGGTCAGCGGCAACGCTGGGGAGAGTTTGGGGCCCTTCCTTGACTTCGCTGGTGAGAACAGGCTTTGTCAGCAGTGTGGAGGCGCTGAGCCGGACAGAGCCTCCTTGAGGGGTCTGTGCTGTGCCTGCAGGATGCTGAGAGGCTCCCTTGGCCTCCACTCCCCAGATGCCAGGAGACTCCTCCCCGCCTCATGCCTACCCAGTACATCTCCAGGCGCTGTCGACCGTCCCTTGGCTGGAGCAACAGGTGCTGTGAGAGTGCGCGGCTCTCACGGTGCTGCCTGAAGGGCTTCGGCCTTTGGAAGCTGCTGTCTCCAGATCTGTGCTCTTGTTGCAGAACCGCTTGCAGACTGACTGTTAAATTGGTAGCACTTCTTCCCCTCTTCTGGGCGGACTAGCTGCCTAGCTATCGGATACTACCCGGCTAATCTTGGAAACTTGAAAAACACGAGAAATAGAAAAGAGAGGCATTTCAGCAATGTTTGCTGCCTAAGTTTAGCGACGTGGCAGACACAGGCCAGGAGACGAGGGACAGCTGAGCAGGAAAGAACCTCAGGGGTGGGCTAATTCCATCTCCTGATCTTATGAATAAGGAAATTTCACCGATGGCTTAGTTTATAGCAAAGACAAAAATAAAAGCCAGATTCCTCTGCTTCTGTCTCTAGGACCCATTCTTTATTTGGTGCTGGAAACTAAATCTTAGAAAATTTTCTCCACCTGCGATCCCCAAGCTCCTGAATGAACAGGACGTAGCACACATAGCAACAGATAGGAAATCACAAGACCTCTTGTGGTCAGGGTTTGAGTGTGCCTCAGTTTCCTTATGCTTCAAATGAGGATAACATCTATTCCACAGGGTTGCTGTGGAGAGTAAAATAAGACGACAGAAATTACAAAACACTGTCCACATGTGAATTCAGCCTGGTCTTACCCAGAAGACCCAGCAAGAAGGAATATTTCATGGCTTTTCTTAGCCTTAGCAATGGTAACATCCCAAACACAAATGTGAGGAAGGGACTCTGATTAGGAAGGGAGTGAGTCCAGGGAGGAACAGAAGGCTGATCCCTGGGTGAAGACACCATGAAGCCCACCCAACCACAGGGGACAGTGGGTTCATGCTGGGGTTCATGAGTCTCTGTGTTGTCTGAGACACTGAGCAAAGACCCCAGACTCCCTACTGTTCAGGGAAGGAAGGGAGAAGAAGGCTGGAGGCACAGACACTCCCCAGAGTGAGGTGGGTCACAGGTGTGCATCCATTGGCAGGCAGCCATAGCATGAGGAAGCCACATCCTGGCAGGTATAGTCCAGGCCAGAGAAGGCCCAGGGGACACTGTAGCTGTAGGTTCTTGGGTCCTTGTATCAATGGGGATTTGGCTGTTTCTGTAGAGCACCACGGTGGGTAGGCAAAGGCTGACTACAGCCCGGTGGCTGAGGGAGGCGTGTCCCCACTGGGGACAGAGGAGGCCTGGCTCACATGTCACAGGGCCTGGGGAGAGCGCAGTCCTGTCACTGAGCACCACCTGACCTTCCAACTGCGAGGACAGCCCGGACCCTGTGGGAGCCGATCTCAGTGCGTCTTCCTGAGGTCCTTTGAATGTGGGAAGTGTTCCGTTCAGGATCCTTCCAGAGAAGTTTCCAGAAGAGTGACTGGCTCACGAAAAGCCCCCAGAGAAGGATTTGAAGCAGGGAGACAGAGGAGGGCAGGGCCCCCTGATAGACAGCATTGGGGGGGGGTGTGTGGACAGGAGTTTCCTGGTGCCAGAAAACCAGCAGTGTCTTCAGAGTAAGGGAAAGGATGTCCCAGTGAGACACGCCTGGGGGTGCCTGGGTGCTGCGGCAGGGTGTGCCTGCAGCCAGATTTCCTGTTCATTGGTGGCGCATTTACAAACAAGCAAACAAGCAGATTGCTGGCAAAGCCAGTCTTGTCTGCAACTCCTGCTTGTGTAGCCAAGGGGTGCGATGTGCACACTGAGGTGACCCCAGAATGGAACGGCCACAGATGTCCCTGGGGGGCACCCTGCAGGTGATGCTAGCAAGAGACAGAGACCCTGAAACTCACCACTTCAGAATGGCGAGGGCCTGAGGTAGGAGCTTCCAGAGGGCTGGCGTGGACTCCCAGGGCTGCCTGCATCCTTGTGCATTCTTGGTGGTGAACACTGCTAGCCCTTGGAGCTTACAGTACTGAACGGCCAAGGAGTATGATCTAGGGTTTCCAACATGTAGTAGGGAAGGAGTAGCGAATGAAAAAGAATTTATGGATGTGTTTTCCTCTTACCCCTTCTGAACTACCCTTGTGTATCCTGTTCTGATCAGAAGTTGGATGTTGGTACATTAACAACTTCTGGGTCACCAGTGGGCACCTACAGAGAAGACTGAATGGCTGCCCAGGGTCCACGGTGTCTGGTGGTGCCAGGGATGTAGCTCACTGCTTTGGCTCGCATAGTTCCTGGTGTAGGACAAGTCCAGCCCAGCTCATGCTGTCAGACACCAACTGAGTTCTGCACCAAGGAGCCTTTGGGTTGCAGCTGAAGCAGAGCTGTGGAGGGTGATGGGAGCAGAGCTTGGGCTGGGCTAGGGGACGGGAGCCAATCTGGCTCTGTCGCTCTTGCCAACACTGGAAAGGCTTTAGAAGGCAGAGTTGGGTGTTGAAAGCAGGTTCTGTCCTCAGTGGACTTGGAGGCAGAGTCAGCTCCTACACCTTCAATGTGCTCTCCATTTTTCTTTCTCTCTTTTTTTAGAAGATTTTATTTATGTGAAAAGCACAGGTACAGAGAAAGAGGGATCTTCCATCCTCTGGTTCACTCCCCAAATGGCCACGATGGCTAGGGCAGGGCCAGACCGGAGCCAAGAGCTTCTTCCTGGTCTCCTTTGTATGGGCAGGGGACCCAGCACTTGGGTTGGTTTTCTCAAGCACGTTAGCAGGGCTCTCTACTTTTCAGCTCTCCCAGCTTGGCTGTGCAATGGGGACACAGCCCTCAGAGTCCACACGGGCCCAGGGCTCCTGCAGCTTCAGGTCAGGACCCTGGGGCCTGCTTGCAGGAAACTGTGCTGGAGGTGTCATTTAATATCAGGTGTCTGCCATTTGGCCTATTTGTGGCCAATGGGGCTGACATTGATGGAGACCTAACATGAACCATTTGTGGTTCACTGGGTCCTTAATATGCAAAATCCCCAGGGCCAGCTCTGTGGCTCAGTGGGTTAAGCTGCCAGCTGTGATGCCAGCACTGGTTCAAGTCTCAGCTGCTCTACTTCTTCTTCTTCTTTTTTTTGGACAGGCAGAGTGGACAGTGAGAGAGACAGAGAGAAAGGTCTTCCTTTTCCTTTGGTTCACCCTGCAATGGCCATTGTGGCTGGCGCACCGCGCTGATCTGAAGCCAGGAGCCAGGTGCTTCTCCTAGTCTCCCATGCGGGTGCAGGGCCCAAGCACTTGGGCCATCCTCCACTGCACTCCCGGGCCACAGCAGAGAGCTGGCCTGGAAGAGGGGCAACCGGGACAGAATCCGACGCCCCGACCGGGACTAGAACCCGGTGTGCCGGCACCGCAGGCGGAGGATTAGCCTATTGAGTTGCGGCGCCGGCCAACTGCTGCTGATCTAGCTCCCTGCTAATGTGCCCAGGAAATCAGCAGATGATGGCCCAAGTGCTTGGGCCCTTGACACCCACGTGGGAGAACCAGCTGGTGTTACTGGCTCTTGGCTTCCACCGGGCCCAACCCTGGCTGTTGTGGCCAACTGGGGAGTAAACCAGTGAGTGGAAGATCTCTCTCTTCCTCTCTTTCTGTCACTCTGCCTTTCAAATGAATAAAATCTTAAAAACACAATTTTATGCCAAAATCCATTCTCAGAGTAACCCTGTGAGGGAGATGTTGTTGGTTTTATGGATAATGAAAGTGGTATCCTGATGTTCAGTTACTGGGCCGAAGCCACACCACAATGAGGTGGGGAGTCCATTTCATTTGCTCTCTTGGGAGTCTCTTTTTCTATTCTCTGTGCTAACCAGGCCCAGTAAAACACTTTATTATAGGTTTATTCACTGTAGTTATAAACTGATCATCATTGCTTATAGAACACTTTTTAAGAGTTTTTAATGGAAATTTATGTGAGAGGCAGAGAGAGATGGACAGACAGAGTACAATAGACAGATGTAGAGAGCTCTGTTTGCTGGTCACTCCCCAAATGCTGACAGTGGCTGGACCAGAGCTGGAGGGTGGAGCCAGGAACACACAGGTGACAGGAACCCAACTACTTGAGCCATCACCTACTGCATTGGCAAGAAGCTGGGATCAGGATTCAGACCTGAGCCAGGATTCAAACCCAGTCACTCTATGTGGGATATGGGTGTCTTAACTGTTAGACCAAACTCCTGCTTCTGTGAAAACACTTTTGAAGTCAGTGGGTCCTCTGGTTTGTTTGGGAAGACAGCTGTGACAGCAACAGTAATGAGTCAGTTTGTTGAGGGTTGCAGATGTCTATTCTTCATTATGATATTAGCTTTTTTGTTGTTGTTGTTTTTGTTTTTGAAAGGCAGAGTGGACAGTGAGAGAGAGAGACAGAGAGAAAGGTCTTCCTTTGCTGTTGGTTCACCCTCATATGGCCGCCGCGGCCGGCGCGCTGCGGCCGGTGCACCGCGCTGATCCAATGGCAGGAGCCAGGTACTTATCCTGGTCTACCATGGGGTGCAGGGCCCAAGCACTTGGGCCATCCTCCACTGCACTCCCGGGCCACAGCAGAGAGCTGGCCTGGAAGAGGGGCAACCGGGACAGAATCTGGCTCCCCGACCGGGACTAGAACCCGGTGTGCCGGCGCTGCAAGGCGGAGGATTAGCCTAGTGAGCCACGGCGCCGGCCTGATATTAGCTTTTATTTTTAAGTGCTTACTCTTCAGAACTGTGGGAGGAAGTCCAGGTGGACCTTGTTGCATCTTAGGCCCAGCG